TCGGCCCCGGGCGCTTCCGCGGCCCGGAGCCCCTCTTCCAGCCCTCCTTCATCGGTGAGCGCCGCAGGGCCCTGGCGCCCGCCCCTCCGTCCCCGCCCGCGCTCTGGCTCACGCTGCGCCCCTCGCCCCCCAGGCATGGAGTCGGCGGGCATCCATGAGACCACCTACAACAGCATCATGAAGTGCGACATCGACATCAGGAAGGACCTGTACGCCAACAACGTCATGTCGGGGGGCACCACCATGTACCCCGGGATCGCTGACCGCATGCAGAAGGAGATCACCGCGCTGGCCCCCAGCACCATGAAGATCAAGGTGGGCGGCGGCCTTGCGGGCCGCGGGGGCGGCGGCTCGGGTGCGGCCCGCCCCCGCTGACGCTCTGCCTTTGCAGATCATCGCCCCCCCTGAGCGCAAGTACTCGGTGTGGATCGGCGGCTCCATCCTGGCCTCGCTGTCCACCTTCCAGCAGATGTGGATCAGCAAGCAGGAGTACGACGAGGCCGGGCCCTCCATCGTCCACCGCAAATGCTTCTAGGCCCCCACCCGGCCATCACTTCTCCCCAGGACGACAGATCTGCTGGAGCCGCGTGGCTGACCTCGGGCCACCGCGCAGCGGCTTCCTCTGTAATGCTGCCGCTCACACTGGCCAGCGTCTGTAACGTGTACATACGTAACTTATTTACCTCATTTTGTTATTTGTAAAACAAAGCCCTGTGGAAGGAAATGGAAAACTTGAAGAAGCAATAAAATCATTCTGTTATGCTGCGAGAAGCTGCCTGCTCATTTATGGGGGCGGGGCGGGGAGGGGGACGGAGCCGGGCTCCATCCTCTCGAATACTCCAGATCCGTGCGTCCTTAGAGGAAGAACGTTAGGCCTCCCCCCGCCGCCCCCAAGGTTTCCCCCTGAGGGTCAGCTCCGTCCCCAGACATCTGCTGGGCGGTCATGCCCGGCTCGCCCTCGGGTGGCAGGGCCCTTCCCCCCCGCCCCCGGGTAGCGGGTGGCGTTGGGCGGCGCAGGCAGCTGGCGCTGGCCGTGGTGCTGGCGCCGGGATCCGGGAGCTGTCCCAGGGAGGGTTTCCGATCCGCCCACGTGCTCTCCGCTGTCTCAGGCTCTCACCCACAGCTTGTATCTGCATTCAGCGGGCCAGTCTTAATTTGCAAGTGACGACAGTCATTGTCCCTTCCAAGTTGGGGAGTCCTTTTCTCGGTGCCAGGTGCTGGTGGTTTAAAGAGGCGCCCCTTCCAGTGGGGACTGGAGAGGAAGCAGCCGAAGTAGGGGAGGGGTAGGCAGGGCCCAGAGAAAGCACAGCGGCTGGGCTGGGGCTGGCAGGGGGGTGGGGGTGGGAGCGCGAGCAGAAGGCCTAGAGGGTGAGGAACCTAGCGGACACTGGAAGGGGGTGGGGTGGGGTGGTGGGGGGCAAAGGTTTTAAGGCATAAAGTGTTAACAGAGTCTGAATCTCAATGAGAGCACAATATCTATTGTTTAAAGTAGTTTAATAGTTTCTAGTCAAGAGTCCCAAGAGTAGTGGTCCCTAAATAAAACCTATTCTGGCTCAAAGAAGGTAAATTCACTCAGAACTAAACTGTACTTGCAACTGACTAGCTGCATTGCGTACCACGTGGTCTTAGGGTTATTTGTTTTTCTGGTCCAATTAGCATAATGGCTATGTCGCTGGGCTCCCATGTAGTTGACCGCGGTTCAAGTCCCGGACCCGGTGGGTTAAACTCACGCTGGGTACATGTGCATGCATGCCCAAGATCCTGAGAGGAGAATGGAGGAGAAGGAATTGCGGTGTGGCCATCCCCCCTGGGGGTGATTTCTCGCTTTCTATCTCTCTGTCTCTCTCTTTCTATAGCAAAAACTTCTCCCTCCCCACCCCCCCCCAAAAAAAAATAGCTTCAGAGGGCTGGCCCACAGCTCAGTGGTTGAGCACAGTACATGGGGCGCCAGATCCCATACACCAATGGCAGTTTGAATCCTGGCCCCAACAACTTAAAAAAAACGCTGAGCATGTGAGTGTCCCAAATCCTGACGAGCTGAAAAAAGAGAGATAAAAGAATTGTGGCATGACCACGTCTCCATGGGGGTCTCTGTTTCTCTGTGTGTGTTTTAAACACCTTTGAGGCCTCTAAGATAGTGTCGCTGCCATGTTCAGATATCAAGAGAAGTGACCATTCAGTAAACTGTAAGGCTGTAATAGAACAAGTGTGTAAAGTCGTGTTCACAGGAAGCACATGTGACTGCTCTGCCCCAGGTGAAAAAAGGCGACAGGGGCTGGATTCCAGAGTTGCAGAAGAATCCAGATTTTACTGATAATACTAAACGCAGGCGCAGTGAGCAAATGCAGCAAACGCACTCGTACACACACACACACACACACACCACGCTCAGCGTGAATGCTCTGGTAGCCGGTGGATGTTAGTGTTATGTAAGGTAGCCAACTGTCAGGTTAACCATTGTTTAACTAGGCCTCCAAATCCCTTAATTAGAACTTAAGCGAGTGAGGCGGTAATGACCTGCCCTCCTGCGATCGAGGCAGTGAATGACTCATGGCATCTTAAACCTCATGGAAGTGTTCTGTGTATCTGGCAGCATCTCTCTGAGCATGTCAATTTTTAAAAACCACCTTTGACATTACTCCTTTACCAAAAGCAAGTGCAAAAATGATGAACTATGTGGCTTCCCTGAAAATGCGCCATATCCAAAAGTTCCCTTCCCTTCTCAACTCTTCTCTGCAAAGAAACACACGTCTCACGCTTTGTTAGTATCCCGCTCCCACATTAGTTGGGCCTACAGGTATTTGTGGAGGGACTGAGAGGGAGTTTTGGTGTGGTGTGAGAAGTCCTCGAAGTGCAGGGCACATGCAGACGTTTGTGCTGCGTGGGGAGAGTCCGCCATCTGCAGCAGCTACACGTACACGAGTGTCCACAGGAGCGGGAGGAGCCCTGAGGCCGCAGCTGCCAGGCACCGCAGGAGTCAGGCGGTAGC